GATTTTCAAGAACAAATCAGATGCTGAAGGAGTTGTCACCAGGAATAAGGCCAGACTTGTTGCTCAAGGATACACTCAGGTTGAAGGGGTTGATTTTGATGAAACCTTTGCACCTGTAGCCAGGCTGGAATCAATCAGACTCCTATTGTCAATTGCTTGTCTTCTGAAGTTCAAGTTATTTCAGATGGATGTGAAAAGTGCCTTTCTAAATGGGTACTTGAATGAGGAAGCTTATGTGGAACAGCCTAAAGGCTTTGTGGATCCAAACCACCCTGATCATGTCTACAAATTGAGAAAAGCTCTATATGGCCTGAAACAAGCTCCTAGAGCATGGTATGACAGGTTAACAAAATTTCTCTCAGACAAAGGATACAGAAAAGGAGGCTTGGACAAAACCCTCTTTGTCAAAACTGAAGGAGGGAAGTTGATGGTAGCCCAAATATATGTTGATGACATAGTGTTTGGAGGAATGTCAGAACATATGGTTAAACTTTTTGCTGACCAGATGCAGGCTGAATTCAAAATGAGTCTCATGGGAGAACTGACTTATTTTCTTGGACTGCAAGTCTCACAGATGGAGGACTCAATCTTTTTATCTCAAAGCAAGTATGCAAAGAACATTGTAAAGAAGTTTGGTATGGAGAATGCCAGTCACAAAAGAACTCCTGCACCTACTCATTTAAAGCTTTCCAAAGATTCAAGTGGGGTTAAGGTGGACCAAAGTCTGTACAGAAGCATGATAGGAAGTTTGCTGTACTTAACTGCCAGCAGACCTGACATTGCTTTTGCAGTTGGAGTTTGTGCAAGATACCAAGCTGATCCTAAAGTCAGTCATATCAACCAAGTGAAGAGAATTTTGAAGTATGTGAGTGGAACCTACAACTATGGTTTGTTATATTCTCATGGCTGTGAACCAACTCTGACTGGTTATTGTGATGCTGATTGGGCTGGAAGTGCTGATGATAGAAAAAGCACCTCTGGTGGATGTTTCTTCTTAGGAAACAATCTGGTTTCCTGGTTCAGCAAGAAACAGAACTGTGTATCTCTCTCTACTGCTGAAGCTGAATACATTGCAGCTGGTAGTAGTTGTTCTCAAATGATCTGGATGAAACAGATGCTTACTGAGTATAATGTCACACAAGATGTTATGACATTGTACTGTGACAATCTGAGTACAATCAACATTTCCAAGAATCCCATTCAGCATAGTAGGACCAAACATATTGACATAAGACATCACTTTATCAGAGACCTTGTAGAAGAGAAGACTATTAAACTGGAACATGTTGCCACTGAGCTACAGCTGGCTGACATTTTTACCAAGGCACTAGATGCAAATCAATTTGAAAACTTGAGGGGTAAGTTGGGTATTTGCCAACATGAGGAATTGTAGCAATTAATTTTGCTTAAAACAAGGGTTGAAGGAGTTATGTTTGTTAAGTCTATTTTGATTGGGTTACACTTATGTTTTCCCATTTCCTTCAAAATATTTAAGAAGTTGAATAGACACTCCTTTTCCTCCTTCCCCTCTCGTCTCCGCATCAAAACCCAGTCTTTCCATCAGAATTTTCTCTCCAGCTGCTATTGGTCTTCTAAGACTATCAAAGTGTCTCAAACATCATCATCATCCAATACGACTATTTCATCCTCTTCCTCTGATCAAGATTCTAGGGCAATCTCATCTTGCCTAGATTCTGAAGTCCTGGAGATTACTCCTCTTAGAGAAGTGGAAACTAACCCCACCAAGGTCAAAGAGCTGAGAACAAGGCATGCAGGAAGGTCCCAAGCTATTGCTTCTGGTAATCCCTCTCATCCTTCCTCTTCTGTTCCCTCTGAAATTGCAAATAGGGAAGGTTCAGCCTATGTCACTCAGGAAAGTTCAAATGCTGCAACAAATCCAGATGTCTCTAAGAATGTTGAGACACCAGACAAAGAGAAGAATGCTGATATTGCTCACAAGAAAAGGAAGAAGCCTGAACCCTCTGAGTCTGAAGGGGACAGTGCTTAAAGGTTGGTGGAGTTGCTGCTGGTTCCTGGTGGAGTTTGCAAGTGTGTTCAAATTTTAGTTGTTGTTTTGCTACTTTGTCTGGATGACTGTATAACATTTAAGTACTTGTATCTTTGGCCCATTTGTGGCTAAAGAGGGGGAGATATTCTGTGGTTAATTGCATGATATATTCTGTGGTTAATTGCATGATATACATTTTTATTTTTCTGCAGTCATATTTATTCTGCTGCTATCTATTCTCTGATTGCTTAGGGGCTTTAGCCAAAAATCTGCCAAAGGGGGAGTTTGTAGGTGTTTAGTTATTGGCATGCATTTTTGGAAAAACCAGGTGTATGAATGTCATGACTGATGTCATAACATTCTAGTTTATTAGGTACTGGTTTATTAGGTACCTTTGCAGAAAAATAATGGCATACAGGTGCTGCTGTTTATGAGTGTGTATCTGAGCATTTTGCAAAAAGATCACATTTACCAAAATCAGTAGACAGGAATTCAGATGTCATAACAAATGTTAAGACATCCTGTTCTGAACTAACAGCTATGCAGTTTGGGTAATTCTGAGTTTTTTCAAGAAAATGACTCAGTCTTTCCAGAACAGAAAATCTCGTGGACTTGGGGTTAACCTAGCTCAACCCTAACCTGGTTGATAAAGTCCTGTGATCAAGTCTTTAGGTCAAACGGAATTAACCCTAGCTTTTTGTGGAAACCCTAACTGAAGATGCAGCTGCTATATATTCAACAGGGCTGCTGTTTGGAATTTAACCCTTTGATAGAAGATCATTTAGGAGCTGTATAGTTTTGACTATTGTAATCCAAGTAAATATCATTGTGATAAGTGACTTGGAATAGGTTTTGTTTGTAAGGGTTTGTATCACTCAAAGCTTTGAAGCAAGAGTGTTTTGTGTCTCTTGGCTAAAGCTTTGAAGCAAAGTCAAGTTAGGTTTATGTACCACTCAAAGCTGTGAAGCAAGAGTGTTTGTGTTGCTTGATTAAAAAGCTGTGAAGCACAATCAAGTGTATATTCTGAAGAGTGTCTTCAGTAATTCTTTAGTCAATTGTTTTAAGTATCACTGCTGTGATTGAGGGGGAGTGAGTAGGAACTCAGGTTTAAGTTGTACTTAGATTGAAGTTGCATTGGGTAGGTCTTAAGTGAAGGAGATAAACTGGTTGGTTTATTCCTGAATTGATACTTCTTATAGTGGATTTCCTCCCTGGCTTGGTAGCCCCCAGAGTAGGTGTTGTTGCACACTGAACTGGGTAAACAATTGACTGTGTTCTTTACTGTTTCTGTATTTACTGTCTTATAGAAAGTCAGATACGGTGTCATAACATTGAACGTGACATTGAGTATCTGCAGCCAAAATTTCAATCCTTTTATACAAAATTGAAAACAAGAGAAGAAAGAAGCAACCAACACTTCAAATATGAATGGCTTGTCATATGTGGCCACTGCGGCTTCTTTAACAACTTCACTCATTATTAGATGCACATGATATACACATGCTATGTCCTCACTTGATGCATCATACTGTAATGTTATGGTTGCTTCATGAATGAGTTCTCCTACATTAGGAGCCATAATATATGCTCCCAAGAAATTGCTGCTAATTATTAAGGGTGGACACTCTGTAGAAGTGCATCTTTGGATTTCAGATATGCATCTCCAGACATATTTTTGGACAAAATAGGGGTGTCACACTTGCAACGTATTTGTTGATTGAATCAAACACTCACCTAAAAGTCAAAGACTCACCCAAACAAGTGAGAGACATACCACATATTCATTCAAAACCTTAAGGTGATAGGTGTATGGATCATCTCACTTATAAAGTGCTCAACCTTCAATTTTCAAGTAATGTGGGATTTAGAACTCACACTTGTTTCTCAATACAACTCACACTTGTTTCTCAACAATCAACTATGTTCCCCCTCAAGCGGAAGCTCTTTCATCCACATACTTGTATCGACATTGACAAACACTCTTTACTCGCCATGGAACTACAACGGGACACACTGCCTGACCACCACTATGTCAAGAAGACTTTCAATACAAGGAGTTATTCTCTTACTTGAACCAGACTCTGATACCACTCATGTGTCATTATGAGGAAAAAACATTCAGATGGGGTCAAACACTCATTTAAAGGTCAAATATTCACTCAAACAAGTGAGAGACACACCACATATTCACCAAAATCTTAAGATTTTAGTTGAATATGTAGCGTGTCTCTCACAAAACGTGTTGCTCATAAAGAAAAACCACAATGTAGATAAGAGACATGTCATATTTGAAAGAGTGTCAACAGAGTTACAAATCTATATAATTGAAAGAATTTTCGTATAACGGTGATAATTATGGATAGAGAAAAAACAAATGTGAGTTAATAAATATTGAAAAATAAAATATAGAAATTTTTTTCATTAATAAAAAAAATAGAAAACTTAAATATTTATAAATAAGAAAATCCAAATACTTATCACTTTGAAATTAAAATATCTATCATTTTAAAATTTTAAATTAGTATGCGATATATTTTTCACAAAATCACAAAATATGTGAACGGCATCTCTAAAGATATCACTAGGTGTCACCTCGGGTGATAGAAAAAGTAATTCCCTTATTTTATTATTTTTTTTACATAAAAAAGAACTATACGGGTCAAATTGTGTTGCAGTCAGAATAAATGCTGAGAATAATTCCATTTCAGCTTCTCAAAAGTCATCACTCATCCCAAGTCACAACTTCTAAAAAAAAATCAAGTCGTCGTAAAATAAATGAAATCAAAACTGACACGTGTCCATCACACTTTTTATCGTTATCCAATTCTAACCGCTTCCTGCAAAATTGAACCCAGTTCTTCTTCTTCTCTGCTTCCAGAACCACCCTCCATTCATTCCTCCATTCTCTTTCCATAACCACTTTTCAACAAGATTCAACTTCACACTATTCTTTCTCGAATTCTATGCCGTGAGCATTCCGATTCTTTCTCCAATGGCACAAACCGCTGTTTCCGGCGCCGAATCGCCTCGCCGTCGTCAAGGTTTACTCCGCGATCAAGTTCAATTAGTCAAAAGAAAAGACTCTTCCGATCGCTACGAGATTGTTCCGATTCAAGATTCTTTATCGTTTGAGAAAGGATTCTTCATTGTTATTCGTGCGTGTCAGTTATTGGCTCAAAACAATGACGGAATTGTGTTAGTAGGAGTTGCAGGTCCTTCTGGTGCTGGGAAAACTGTTTTTACTGATAAGGTTTTCAGTTTCATGCCGAGTATTGCTGTTATAAGCATGGATAATTATAATGATGCTAGTCGAATCATTGATGGAAACTTTGATGGTATCATCTTTTCTTTATTTTTTATTTTGATTATTGCAAAGTTTTATTGATCTTATTCATTTCTTGTTGTGGAGTTTGTTTTTTACTCTATTAGGATAGTTTGCTGAATTAAGTGCTTATTATATAAGTGCGGTTGGTTAGTTTTAGAAACAAACCGTATCCATTTATAAACCATAAAATGGATTAGGATTTATAACTATAACCACATTTCAATCAAAACTGGCTATAAATTCAGTTATGGAAATAATTTAAGAACATTTTTATGGATATGTCACCTAGTGCTTATGTATGTAGACAAACTCAAATAAGTCAATTCAAATATACATTAAGTCTTTTTTTGTTGTTGTTAAAAGTACGAGTTTTACCTTGTATTGACCGATGTTTGTGTCATTGTTTGGTACTAATTGCTAAGTCTATGAAGTTCAAAGAGCATAGACAACGGCACAAGTTTCTGTGGTTTGTATGCATGGCTGCGTAGTCGCTATAATGTTGTAGTTTCAGATTTATTAGTTTTGTTTTATGCTTATTTTCTGGATTTTTTTTAAATGGACTCTTATAGCATTTTTATATATTAGATAGCATCCATTTTATCTATGGCCATTGGTCGAACTAATGTCAAGTTTTTTTTTAGGGAGAAATTGGTATAATGTAGATGAGAAGCTAGGATGATAGTGGCCTTTCCCATTTTATTGGCCCATAGTAGACTACACGGCTCGCTATCGTTATATATTCAACAAATATTGCAATTCAGTCTAAGTGAGTTAAAGTATGAAAAGACAGCATTAATGAGAAATAATTAGACAGCATTACATGAATAGAAAATTTTGATGTGGAATAAAAATCTTAGAGTGAAACAAGACAACAGTTAAAAATACCGAAATATCATCTGTATGTATGGGCATAAGTGACAATATAATATGCAAAGCGCGGGTGACAATATATTTGCAAAGCGGAATTCAAACTAGAATAAAATCTTAGAGTGATACACAACCATTAAAAGTATTGACAAATCGTGCATGCCATGTTTATCATCTATTGCTGATAATATAGTTGAGTTTCCCTCGGTATCTAATCTTCTTTTACTCATTTCATTTATCGGAAATGCTTTTACAAGTTCATCATCTTAGTCAATAATCAAGAAATAGGAAAGAATGTTATGCAAACCAGACTTCTAATATCATCATTATTTGAAACAGACCCTCGATTGACGGATTATGATACCTTGCTAAAAAATATACAGGATCTTAAATCAGGGAAGCCTGCTCAGGTTCCGATATACGATTTCAAGTCTAGTTCTCGCATCGGATACAGGTTGTGTACCCCTCGACTTCACCTTTAAAGAATATGCAACATTTTTTTCTTTTATAGCTGTGCCATCTAGGTTTAGGCTCACCAATGAAGTAAAACTGAAAAGTAGAACTCGAAAACTAATAGAATTTAATCCTTCAATCCATTATAAAGTAAATGTATTCAAAATGCTTTAGGTGTGGAAGTGGGAAGTCCTTGAAATGTCTGGTTATATGGAATCTTTGTATTGTGTTTGAATTATCTATCTATAAAACATTATTCAATAATCTATTATGCTTTTACTTTTGGATATCCAAACTGAAAAGTGATTTGTTTAGAAACATATAACCTGTGAATTTATGAATGACGTTTAGAGGCTCATGATATATGCAAAATGCTCAAAACATTGTTTTTTTACTTCTTCTGAAAAGTAATTTTTCCACGCAAGTCAAGTTATTAATGATTATAACCAATTTCACTCACATGCCCAAACATCTTAATTAACAAAACAAACATGTATATAATGGAAAAAATTGTTGTCATGTATGGTTCACAAACACATGCATAATATAATGCAGCAACATTTTGTAGTATGCATCATTGCTGTCTGTCTCTGCATTCACCGTCCAACAATCGTAGTCTCTGAGATGTCAAGACTCAAGAGACACAAAACAGATACATGCACATGAATGTCTATTGTATGTCTAGAAGAGGTGCAAGATAGCATTTTAAATTTGGATACACATTAGCTTTAAAATAGCATCATATTTTGATTGACCAAAATGATATTGCATTTATACTTAACTTTGTTGATTTCTTTTGTACTATTTCTGAACAGGACTATTGAAGTCCCTAGCTCCCGTATCTTAATCATTGAAGGAATCTACGCCTTAAGTGAAAAATTACGACCTTTGCTTGATCTTCGAGTTTCTGTCACCGGTGGAGTCCATTTTGACCTTGTCAAGCGTGTTTTGCGGGACATTCAACGAGCTGGTCAAGAGCCTGAAGAAATAATTCATCAAATCTCTGAAACGGTCTCTCTCTGATCATATGTTATATTTTGTTTTTCCTTTAGGAGTTTTAGAATTGCAAATCTTCAAGGCTAAGAGTTATCTGCTATAATTCTTACATATTATTCTGTTTCCTTTTATAGGTATATCCCATGTATAAAGCTTTTATAGAGCCAGATCTCCAAACAGCGCATATAAAAATTATTAATAAGTTTAATCCATTCACTGGATTCCAGAATCCCACCTACATATTGAAGGTGACCCTTTGCTATGTATTATCATATAGTAATTTTCTTTTTAAGTTTCAAGTTTCTTCTTGACGATACATTACTTTGATTGTTTCCACCATTTTAGTCAGCAAAAATTGTGACAGGGGATCAAATCAAGGCAGTTATTGCTGCAGAGTATACTGAAACCAAAGAGGAAACATATGACATTTATCTTCTACCCCCCGGAGACGACCCTGAAGCATGTCAATCATATTTGAGAATGAGAAACCGGGATGGAAAATACAATCTTATGTTTGAGGTTAGGTGATTGAGAACCTAACACTTTAGAAAGGCATAAATTTTGTCTGAGTTGGCGATTTGATTGCATGCATTTATTAGATACCAATGCTTCACTCATAAAGTCATAATATTATTCTTGTCCTTCTGCCGTGAGGTAAAAAACGGTCCCGTCTTTTTGATCAAGCAGTTTTCTACTTTTATTTTATTTCGTTTGGTCAATCTCTACGGTTATGTGTGTATGCATATGTGCTGGTAAATATCTCGGTTAAAAGAAGTGTCAAGTTTGTTTGAAAAAGTTTGACAAATATTTGAACACTTGTACTTCACAATGGAGGAAGCTATTGAACTCGCAGCTTACAAACTCAGGGCTTTGCAGATTGTATATTTTGATACCCTACCTTTACATGTTTGAGACTTGCTGAAAAGTTGCACTTAGAACAAAATAACTGGAAAATCTACATATTCATTTCTTGTTTTCAGGAATGGGTTACAGATAGTCCATTCATTATATCACCTAGAATTACTTTTGAGGTCAGTGTGCGTCTGCTTGGAGGGCTGATGGCCTTGGGGTATACAATTGCAGCAATCCTGAAAAGAAGCAGCCATGTCTTTCACGACAATAAAGTGTCCATAAAAACTGATTGGCTAGAACAACTTAATCGCCAATATGTTCAGGTATAACAGCATATTGTTTGAATTCTCTCCCGTCTTAGTTTTTTCTATGCTTGTTGATCATGTGTAAAGAAGTTTTAATCTACACCCTTATTGTTAGTTGCCCGGCAATTGTACCTAAAGATTCCTGTTCTTTATCTGCTGGTACCATAAATTTTCTAATACTAGCTTGACCCTATTCACAACCTGATCTTACCCCTCTATTCTTTTTTGTTGAGTGTTGTCTTCCATTCTATTAGAATTCTTAAAGATGAAGTTTTATGCAATTCATAAATGCTGAAATATAGAGAGAATTATGAACTGAATGCTGAATCTCAGCTTCTGACTTTATTGAATGAATTAAGTTAGTTATAACAATAGGTGCAAATCCTATTTATAGAGAATCTAGGGAATAGGAGATTATTGGCTGTAGCCAGTTTCTGACTGACATATGTCAGTCAGTTAGTTACAACTGAAAATCCCTAACTGGCAACTGCATCACAACTGATTCAGTTACAGTGTGTAACAGAATCTGTTTAGAGGGATAATCCTGTGGGTATGGGAGCAGGCCTATTGCAGTGGACCTTTCACTAATCTCTCCTTTAATATGCTCCTCAACTGAGAGTGGCTGCACAAACACTGAGATTGGATCTGAACTCTTCAAACTTGGTAGGAGGGGAACCTTGGTCATGATATCTGCAGACTGTTGAAGACCAGAAATATACACCACCTGAAGCTGCTTTTGAAGCGGTTTCTCTCTGACAAAAAATAGATCCAATTTCTTGTGCTTGGTGGGAGCATAAAGCACAGGGTTGTGAGCAAGAGCAATGATGTGCATGTTGTCACAGTGGATGAGAGGTGTGGTGAACTTGATACCTAACTCATAGAGAAGAGACTGCAGCCATATAAATTCTGTGGTGGCCAAGGCTAGGCTGCGGCACTCTGCTTCTGTGCTAGATCTAGAAATTACTGGCTGTTTCTTAGCCCACCAGTTTACCAAGTTAGGCCCTAGAAACACACAAGCCCCAGAGGTAGACCTTCTTTCATCTGGGTCAGAACCCCAATCTTCATCTCAGTAGGCCTGCAATCTGACAAAGTTGGGACAGGTTTGAGAAGAAGACTGAGTTGGATGGTGCCTTTGAGATAACGCAGAATTCTCTTGACTGCATCACAGCAGATTCAGTTACAGTGTGTAACAGAATCTGTTTAGTGGGATAATCCTGAGTGTGTGGGTGCAGGGCTATTGCAGTGAACTTTTCACCAATCTCTCCTTTAATACATTCTTATTTGTTATAATTAATTTTTAACCTGCTTGCTTGCCATGGGTTCTAGTCCCAGAAACAACTTCTCCACTGATGGGGCTAAGGTCATTTCCGCATGACCGACCTAAGATCCCATATTAATGGCATTGCATTTTGATCCACCTGGTTACCTTTAATGATAATTCACATCTTACTAATATTTTATTTCGTGATGTTATTCCACATTCTAGGAACATACCATGATTAGTGTTCTCTCAATTTTAATGTTTTATTGACTTTCAATCTTGTCTATCTTATGCCTTTAATGGGGAGAGGTTGTTATAGAATCATTTACTTTGTAACTACGTGCCGAGTTTCAAACAATCAATGCTTATGAAGTTCAAAACTATATACAATGTTTCAGTTCAAAATATGGTTCAATGCAATTTATTTCACAGTTTGGTTTAGTTTTTTAAACTATGTGAACACCCATACCCATGGGTACTTATTTTAAACCCAAACACTTAAAATTAAGGGATGGGTTTTGGTGGCCCATGGAACTCTGACCAAGTGCCTGCATAGATACCATTTGTGTATTTTATGTTATTTTTGTAAGTAACTAAATACTCATTCATGTTTTTTAAAGGTGCAAGGGAAAGATAGAAACTATGTTAAGTTTGTAGCGCAGAAACTGGGTTTGGATGGTTCCTATGTTCCTCGCACTTACATTGAACAAATTCAGCTAGAAAAGCTTGTAAATGATGTGATGGTATGAATACTGATGCTATCTTCTGCTTGTGTTTTACATATTTGTTCACCAAATCACTGATCTAGTCAAACTTCAGACACTGCCAGATGATCTGAAGACAAAACTAAGCATAGATGATGACTCGGTTTCAAGCCCCAAAGAAGCACTTTCTAGAGCTTCTGCAGATAGGAGAATGAAGTATCTTAGTCGGTACATACTAATTTTCTTCACATATTTAACTTGCCTTATAAAGAAATTGACATGTCTTCTACTTGCTTTTCATGTTTGGGATGAAATTTCCTGAATGTGATTGAAATGAAAATATGTTGAAGAAAGGACCTCCTGGTGTTATTCTCACGATGTTCTTCTGCAGTGATATTTCACAGTCATATTCAAATCGAAGAGACAAGATTCTACCTAAGTTGACTAAACTTGCTATAAATAACAGAAGTTTTAACGCGAGAGCTCTAGAATCACCTGCTCCCATGGCCAACCAAGTAAGATACATTATTTGTTATAAGAAGTCTTGTAATGACAATAATTTTGGCTACTTCGTTTGTTGATGTATAACCTTGCTGCTCTTATTTTATGGAACATAGAAAAGCTACTGCTTAATCTGTAGTACCTAGAAATGTTGAAAGAATATCGAGATGCAATTGCATTTCATATTGGAAATAAACTTAGTAAATGGGAGCAAGTTTATCTTAACCTTTCGAGGAAATTATATTTATGCATTATTTTGGCTTTAGAGAATGTGCTACAATTGATAGGTGTCTGCCATTCTGACTAGAAGGTTTTATTTTCTGTTCATTTTTCTACTCATCTGCGTGATTCATCAACTGATATTTGCTTTAAGCTGGCAGGGAGTTATCATTCAACTTTCCGATCAAATTTCCACCCTAAATGAAAGAATGGACGAGTTCACCTCCCGTATTGAAGAGCTGAATTCAAACTTCGATGTTAAAAAAGTTTCAGCCAGTCAACAAAACATGGCTTTACAGGCTGAGACCTGCAATGGCTCTGGCCCTACTTCTCACTTTGTTACTGGATTAAGCAATGGTTCATTGTCTGGATCATTGCTTCCTAATTCTCTTTCATCCTCTCAATTGGTTAGAGAGTCTCCGCTAATGGAAGAGGTAAGTGATATATCCTCTCATTTTGAATTCACATGACAATAAGTGTGCTATTGCATTAAAGTACATGTTTGGAATTACTTTGATCATGACACACTGTACTTTCCCCCTCTGTCGATATAGGTATTACTTGTTGCCCGAGGACAACGTCAAATCACGCATCAACTCGACACTTTGAGCAATCTTATGCAGGAATACTTGGGTGAGAAATCGCGGCCGGGAAGAAATGACCAGGCAGGCAAAATACTTGAAGTTGAATCCTTTGCCATCCCTCTGGTTCTGACTTTAGCCTTTGGTGCTGTTGGGGTGTTCTTGTTCAAGGGTTTGACATCTAAAAAATAACGTGTCCACTTTGTTTCTTGTAGTTGCCATTTATGAGAGATTCCTTATCAGTATATAGCTAAAAGGTTTCTGTAAACAGTTACCATTCACTCAAGATGCAACATACAAGTAATAAGTGTCAACGAGCTTATACCTTCTCAATATATAAGCTTGTTTATAACTTTGTGCAGCTTATACCTAACTCAATGTATAAGCTTGTATCTTCTGTATAACTCAATGTATTCAGTGTCACAATAGAAAAATATATTTCAGAATAAGTGCGGCTTTTAAACATGTGTGATATATTTCAATTCTACATGAAATTATTAAGATCTACGCAAAGTTCATTAACACTTAACTATGCATTTCTAAATGTTGCATACAGGACTACACTACATACTACTCCACTACTCCAGTTTTTATTGTCTTGTTCTCAAGTATTATTTTACAATATAACATAGGTTCTATTTATAGGACATAAATGGTCTAATACAAAATAAAAAATAAATGGTCTAATAACTCAATAAAAAATTGATTAGCATTTAGTAGGGAGAGAATGTCATGAAACAAATGATTAAACATTCATTACTCATGATTATTTATAACACTCTCTTTTAGATGTTTATTGAGGGTATATTTTATTAAAATTTTACTAGAAAAAATTCGGTGAATAAAATATATTAAAGGAAAAAAAGTACAATATCTTTTTAAGATATATTTATTTTCCCCCTTAACTTAACTATCATTTCTTCGACAATGAAGATCAATCTTTTGTATCAGTTGGTTAAAAGTTTTACTTAGGAGTGACTTTGTGAAAAAGTCTGCAAAATTATCACATAGACAAATTTATTAGATGCTTATATCACCATTCTTCTGAAGATCATGGGTGAAAAAGATCTTCGGAGAAATGTGTTTTGTTCGGTCTTCTTTAATGTAATTATCCTTTATTTGAGCGATGCAAACAATATTATTTTTGTATATGATTGTTGCACTTATTTTTTCAGAAGATAAACCACAAGTTTGTTGTATATGTTGAATTAAAGATCTCATTCAAACGCATTCTCGACTTATCCCATGTAGTGCTAAAAGTTCTGCATGATTTGAAGAAGCTGTTATGATTTGTTTTACAGATCTCCATGAAATGGTTGTACCATCACAAGTAAACAAAATAAAATGTGTGATATACCATTATGAGGATCTGACAAGTAACATTCATCTATATAACTTGATAATTTTAATTTGAAAAATTTGAAAAAAAAAAAATTCATGTCCACTGTACCTTTAAAATAACGAAGTATATGTTTGATTTTGTTCCAATGTCTTTGTGTAGGTGAAGAATTATATCTTGTTAATAGATAGATAATAAATGATATATCAAGACGAGTATAATTGGTAAGATACATCAGTGATCCAGTTGCACTAAGATATGATTGTTGTACCATAATTTTTTACCTAAGATTCCACCTCCTTTTGCCTCATTTGCATAAGATTAAAGGATCACCTCATTCATATTTGCATCCACTAATCTTATGAGATTGCAAAAATATGCTTTGTTTGTTTCTTGTGTAAGGTAGGTTAGAGGATCTAAAAATTGGTTGATCAAAGGGCTCCGAGACTTAAGCCTCTCATTCATGGTGATCAAATAATCATCATCTTCACCATAAATTTATCATATTAGGGTTTCTTTGGATTCATTAAGTGAATTAGGGTTTTGGGTGCCTCAGATGAAAATCAGGGATTTAAGATTGGAGGTCTCCAATTGTGTATCACTCAAGGCATTTATTATATCAACATCTTATGAATTTCAAAGGCATCTCTACATGCTAAGGGTTGCACCATAATCAAGAGTTTCCATTGAAATTGGACAATTTGGATTCATCTGGTACAAGGTCAACTTCAAAGTCAAACTTTAACTTTTGGGATTTTTTTGATCAAACATAGACTTGTCAAGTCAAGGATCATTAAAATATTATTAAAAAGTGAATTTGATCAAGAGGAATCACAAAATTTGAGATAACTTGTGAAAACGACAAAGTAGAAGATGTTGAAAGTTTCACTGAAGTACCAATAATTCATGATCAAGTATGCGACATTGAAAAGCTTGTAACTTCTTCATCAAGTAACCATTTTCTTGTCTAATGCTCAAATTGAAAATAATTTTTCATACTACAACTTTGTCAGTGAGGGTTGATCTCCATACAATGCATAGATTTGAATATATCAATTGATGAAGTTAACACCTCAAAATTGTCAAAATCTTAATACTTAGAAAAATTCTAAAGTGTTTGTTTTCGTCCAAAATACCAAAGTTGTAAGGAATTTTTCACCAAGATCTCATATGATTCAAGGAAAATGGTCAACATTAAAGATGTAGAGGATGTTTCAAGCTTTCCAAAATATCCAAGAGCATGAAAATAGGATGCTTGAGCTAGGAGAATCGAAGAGATGAACATAGTCTCTCACAAACTAAATTTCAAATCATTTTTCCATGACCAACTTCTTTGTACACGAGCCTAAGCAAGGAGATCACATTTTTCAAGTCAATTGGCTTGTAAATCTCATCATAATTGAGTGTATTCATAACTGATTTATCAATTATCCAAGTGTTTGAAATATTTTCCAAACCATTTTGCCATTTAGAGGAGAAAGACATAATTGTCATTTTAAAAAAGCATGCTTTTTGCACAATGTCAATGCATTGAGCTTCGTGGTAGTTCCTTTTAATCACACTCAAACACAAAAGCAATAAGCAACATGCTTGGGCCATCCAACAACTTCAGAAGCAAGTGTACCATGCCTTAGAACCATCATCTTCATGTAACTTGACATTTCCATTCCAACCAAATCATAACTCAACAAATTGCATTTGAAACCAATTCACATCTTCTTAATTTTCCCTAAAAATAAGAGGCTCATTTGCACTCCAAAGACATGAATTCATAGCCTTAAAACATCTCAAACTCAGAAGCTACACACAAAACTCCATTGTTGCAACTTTTGACATTAAATATCAAACACTCAATCCACTCGTACATTTTCACTCTAAATCATTTACAATTATTCTATAACTCATATAGAACTCATCCAAACCCTCACTGCACGACTGTAACACCTCCACCATCATCCTCCATCTCTCCCTTTTCAAGTTTGCAAGTCAACTTGGGAAAAAGGTGTGAGGCTATCTCAAGGTAAGCTAAGAATTCCATTAGCTTCACAAAGATCCTAAGAATCTATTCACATCATTACTTCTCATCTGGAGGCATTGAAGTAAGCATTGGTCTTTCTCCAATTGCTAAGAAAATTCAAACTTTGAACTCATCATACACGCATCATTAATGTCTGGTTTGTGAATCAAAAATGTAGTTTATGATGTGTTGATGCTAAACCCTGTGCTAATTTACATGTATCTTACTTGTGTGTGAAGTTCTGATCAAACGGACTTTGTCAAGGTTTTTTGGTTCTCTTTGAAATTGATGAGTTACAGTCCATTTTAATTTATGTTGATTATATTTTTGGATTGCTTGCAAAATTTAGAGCAACTTTTATGTTTATATCTTTTAAAATGATTGAGAATTGAGAAAGATAGCATTTTGTCCATGGATGTTGTTGTTGTTCAGTCGTGAGGAAGAAGAAGACGGGGAGGGCGCGCGTTTCTCATTTTTCAAAAGCAAGTTTATTTTATATTTAATGCAATTCATATTATTAACGGATGAGAGTGTAGCACCGCTGGTCAGGAATTTGTGTTGCAAGCAAGAGGGCGAGGGTTCGAACCAATGTGAACTCCCTTTTTGCATTTTTTTCCATTTTTTTCTGTTATACATTCAATGATTTGTTTCAAATATAATTTTGTGTGTGTGTTTGTTATCACCACTAAGCACGTGGCTCAGTGGATAATATTTTGAGTGATAACCTCAAGGGCGCAAGTTCAAGCCCTGACAACCCCTTTGCTTTATTTTTATTACTTGTTTTTCAAAAAAAAAATTTGTTTTACCATTTTCTTTCAATCATTTCCCTATACAAATTATCATATTTTAAGTTGATATTTTACATACTTTTAATTTATCACCTATATTTTATGAATACATGAGAAAATCCAAAAAAAATATTTATCTCACTTATTTTTATTCAATTTAAAATTAGTCATTTTTTAGATATTCTAAAGACTTTTGTGGTTTTCCTTTTGATTGGTTCTCTTGTTTAAATGATCGTTTAAATGATCATTTGTGTTTAAATAATCATATTATACCTTGTTTGAGTTTCACTTAATATTGATGACATGATTAAATGTGTTCACCTAGGGTTTTAACATGTTTAATTAAGTGAACTCTATGTGTGATAATTTCAAAAAAAACCTAATTTGGTTATGGATCTTTTCCTCTGGCTTCTAAGTGCAATGTATTGTTGATCTCCCCTTGTTTCTACCATGATGAATGCTTGATACATGTTTACCATGAGTTTAAACCTTCTTTAATATTTTCATATATCCTCTTAACTTTGATACCATGATTTTGTTTGGTTTTTAAACTTTGATACTTGTCTTGTTTAAAACCCTCTTGATGTTTAAAATTGGTTGTCGACATGATAAGATGGTTGCTTGATTTGCCATGTACCTTGTGTGTTTGTTTACATATCCATGTGTTGTACCCCAAAATTTTCCCTCTCACTTATCAAAGATTTGCTCACAAGATCTCCTTGGGCTCAAGACTGCACTAGGGTTTGATCAGCTCAAGACACCTCCTTATGCACAGATGACCAAAATTAGGGTTTGAGTTTGCACAAGGATTTTTGAACTATCAATGCCCCATATGACTTTCATGGATCATTATGGACCCCCAAGATTACTCATGTCAAGTTTCAAGCCTTGGATCACACTTTTGATCAGTCAATTGAACAGTTGACCTAAAAATCAATTGTATTGGGGAAAAAGTCAACCATGGCCAATTTACAGTAAAAATTCATAATTTTTTATCCACATCAACATTTTAGACTCATATGTATCATTTGATCAAGTTTGGACCACA